ATCTTTTAAATCCTTATCAAGAATATTATATAAAGTGTTAATTTTTTTTGTTTTAAACAATTTGGCTTTTTTTATTTGATAATAGCTCCTTAAATCATACGAAAGTGAAAACAAACTGTCAACTGCACTAGATGAACATCTGATTGTCTATGTTTCTCTAATATCATATGAATAAAAGTAATCGATGCTTGAAAAGTGAAAGAAATCGATTTTCTGTATTTATATGACTTTTGGATTTTATAAACATTGTATGCTTAACTAGACTAGTATTTACACAGTGAGTCAAGCATAAACTACCAATGGTAGCTTCATCAATGTACATCTATGAGTTCAATTATTCCGCCTGAGCTAGCTACAGTGGCTGTACTCAAAGGGCTTTATCCATGCGCGTACATAAACAGGTACCTGTATGATTGAGTAAAGGGGAAATCAAATGCGTAAATAGTACAGCCTTGGCCCACTTGGTAGAGACTAGATACTCAATCAGAACAGGCGTTCTTGGTCATCTATCGCGTTCCTGGCAATCTTTCTAGAGGCGATCGACCACGTCTTCTATCAGTAGCTGAAGCGGTAGCAATCAATACCAAAAGACCCGGTCTCTGCCTATACATGAATTACGTCTAACCTCTATGTTTACCTTGGCCTACAATGAGGTCAATGAGTCCTCCATAAACATTGGTACTCTAAATTCCTATCCCTTTCTCTTATCCTCTCTTTCCCTTTGTTTCACTGACAAACGTTCATTTCTGACCCTTTACCACTTCATGAGTTCACTTATTTTGTGCGCTACCTTAGGTTTATGTAATGTTTTCAAACTTGTTATTGTATTTACACTGTCCTTTTCATTTCACTTTATTGAATTCTTTGTTACCTCTGGTAATCGTTTACTAATAGTACTTTTAAGTTTAACACTACACCATCGTTATTATTGTTATCTATCACCCTTGAACCTATGTCTAGTTTGTCGTATTTCCTGGTTTATTTTTCCGAAGTATTCATGTCTCACACACCACTGACTACACTCACTCACTCTCGAAACCTGTACTTTTGTTGACCACATCTATTCACACACATCAATGAATTATTTCATCTCATGTTCTGATTGATCATGCGTATTATAAACGATAATCAAATCAAACTGACTATTATTCGACCTTGTACTTGTACCACAATACACCATTTTATGCAGTTCTGATATAGAAATCAAGTCTGAAGTTAATTATCTTGGATTAATTATTTCATCTGACCTATCCAGATCTTCCCATGTCTTAGCGATTTCTAAAAGAATATTTCGTCTGACTTTTTACATTAAGAAGTTGAGGCACTCAGGCATAACCCAACCCCTCCTCTTACAGTTTGTCAACTCGCATATTTTACCTATTCTTCTTTACTGTTCACCCTTATTCTTTCCTGGATTGCTTAAAAAAGACTATGTCATACTTCGTAGAACTCTGAATACTGTCAGTCAGTAAGATGAGTGGTATCCCATTGGGCCATATTGTTGAGATTGTCACGGATAGGCACCTGACATCATGTAACAAATGTGCTAAAGGAATTTTATCAGACTCTGAGCACCCACTTTACTTACTCGCAGCTCCAACCTTGTGTCTCCTCAGGTGAAACAAGAAGTCTTTTTAGAAGAATTTACGCACGTACGTCTAAGTATAAAAAAATTCCACTATACCATATTTGGCACGTACTTTATGTGATGAAAATAGTGTCAGGGGTGAACTAACCAACTAACCTTCTTTGCACTACCAAATGAACCATTTCTTCTAACCTTAAAGTACCAAACTTAATTGTTATTGTATTCCTTATATTTACAATCCTCTCAATTTTTTGTTTTTATTTATTTATTTTTCATCGTTGAAGCTGTGTTACCACTGTCAATCTTGTATTTCCTCTCACTATATTATATCAAAAGAACATTAGATTCACTGCTCTATAATAACATGCTAAAATTTCCAAACTGAATTGACAATACTGTTTGAAACAAACTCACTGGTGTTATTATTATTATTATTAATACTATGATTATTATTATTACATTTAATGATCTCAATTCGTGCTTCGAATATTTTTGACTTTACATCATAAACGTGGACAAATTCCTCTGGTTAATTTTTAATTTTACTTATATTCTGAGTGAATCAGATTCAAGATATTGTGACAAATGCTGAGAATTCCACTGTGTATTATAAGTCCTGTTTTTGGAATTAAGTAAATTATTATCATTATTATAGCATTAGTTTCCCTTCACTGGCTAATGTATGCTAACATTAATGGATTTATGAACCAAGAAACGTCATAAGAAAAAGACGTAAACGTCGGGAAAAAATTTTCCTTTCGACTATTCATTTTCATAAGCTGTTGTACAATCGTTATTATGTTTAGTAAAGAATTTATAAGACTAATCAGATACTGGTAAAATTTCTCCTCAAAAAGTATTACTTAATTATAAGGTGTAGTCTAGAAGGGGTGACTAATTGGAAATTTGAAAAGCAGGCAGAAGTTGGCATGACGTGATAATTGTGAAAGAGAATGACTAATCAATGTGATTAAGTAGAGTGCATAAAAAGTAGTGGAAAGACCTTCAGAGGTGCTCACCCATGACCACACCGGTGAACGAACCCAAGATCTACAGGTTACGAATCAAGCTCGTTGACTGTACAGTCACTGTGGCAAAATCTAGTCAATCAACTATATATATATATATATATATATATATATATATATATATATATATATTCAATAGCGTATACTATAACATATCTCTTCGAGTGTGGATGCTACATATTCATTTATCAAATGGAAATTATTTCACCCTACGCGTATCATCCCTATCCCTAAACCTGGTAATAGCGAAAACGTAAAGTTCAGACCCATTGCCATTACTTCCCTGTTTCTAAATCTTATGGAAAAACTAATACTTCTTAAACTTGAATCCACCCTTAAAAGTTTCGAAGACCCCAAACAATTCGCCTATAGACAGAGTAGGAACACTTTAGACCCTGCAGCCGTCTTACACAACAGTATCGTCTCATCATTAGATAAAGGTGCCAAATATGTCCGCTGCACGTTTCTCGACTTCACTTCTTCTTTCGACTCTGTACCTAGATGTCTCTCGCTAAATAAGCTGTCGATGACACAAACTGAGTCAGGGGTCACAAACTGGTTGCATTCCTACTTCTCAAACAGAATGCAGGACACTGTATAAAAAGGTAAATCCTCCTTTGCTATGCTCACTGAAGCTGGTGTCCCCCAAGGCGCTGTACTCTCCCCACTTTTCTTTTCCTTCTTTATAAATGACTTACCATCTTCAAATGACATTAATTTTGTAAAATATGCTGACAACCTAACTGTATCTTTGCCTGTAAAATTTTAAAGTGACTGCTCCAAACTAAGTGGCTTTTTATCATAAATCAGCCAATGGTCCAAGGAAAACGGTCTCACCTTAAACCCCTCCAAATGCCAAACAGTCAATTTCACCTTTAGGCATAAATCTGACCTGGACAAACTGGTTAGCACTCACGAGGTGTGCAACATAGATGGCACTAAAATAGAAACCAAATCGGAAATTAAGTATCTTGGCATCATTCAGTCTGCTGATCTTTCCTGGTCGTCTCATATCTTGATGATTTCTAAGAAAATATTCCGTCTTACCTTCTACATCAAGAAGTTAAGACATTCTGGATTAACCCAACCCCTACTTCTACGATTCTCTAACTCTTGCATCCTACCTATTATTCTCTATTGTTCCCCCTTAGTTTTTCCAGGGCTAATGAAGAAAGACTATACCTTATTACGCAAGATGTTAAAAGTTGTCAGCAGGGTAAGCTACGTGCCACTTAGCCAGCTCGTTAATATTCTGGTGGACAGGCACCTGGACTCATGTGAAAAATGGGCTAAATCCATTCTATCTAACTCACACCACCCTCTTCATTCACAACTCTCCCCTTGTATCTCATCAGGCGAAAACAGAAGCCTGTATAGAAAACTATATGCTCGCACTAGCAAGTACAAAAACTCAACCATACTCTACTTAGCTCGTGTTCTGTGCGATAAAGAAAGCATTAGGCGTGATACCTATAACTTATTAAGTAGTCAATAGAACAACAACTGGATCTCGTCTTTCCAACTCACATCATTTATACTTACAGAGTTTTCCTTTCTTTCTTTTCCTTTCCTCTCTCTCTTTTTCTCTGTTATGTGCTGCTTTGTTTCTTTCTTCTGCTTACGCCAGTAAATACGCTAGCACCTACTTTTCTAGCACCTTCAAACACTCTGTTCAATTTTGCCTTGCTGCTGATATGCTAATATGTTGTTGTCAAAATTGACCGAGATTACCCTTAATCTATGTAAAATTTTATTTATTGTTAATGTACTAACTGGATGTAATAATGTAGTAAAATGCTGAGAATTCCATTCTGTATCACAAGTACTGTTTTGGAATAAAGCAAATTATTATTATTATTATTTTGGTGTTCAGAACAGTTTAGAATTGATGAATTATCAGATAAGGAAATAAATCTCAGACACAAAAATCTATTTTTTGAGCAGTCGTCATAAAGGTATCATAGAAACATAGCTAAAGGTAGTGTAGTTTTGTATTTTAAATTAATAATAATGATTTCTGTATTTACTTTCACCCCTGTTATACCTCGAGAATGATATCTCTTACTGACTAACTAACACTTCACCATTGGATTGATATATTACTAGTGTAGCTCCGTTGAAATGAGGTACTAATTGAAAAGAAATATATTTATTCTCTCAGTTACTGTTACTCTTTCTAAATACTATGTCAAACATAAAGTAAGTGTCACCTCAACCTATTCTCAGCAGTTTTGTTAAAACGGCAGTAGAAAATTTGAAAATTATAACAGTTACTGTTTTGCACTAGGAGTTCTGATAATATTACCTGTCGGCTATTTGTGTGACTATCTATAAACAATGACAGTGACTAACAGAGAGAAGCAGAAAAAACAAACAAAAACAACTTGGAGTATTGATCATGTATTGATTAAGTGATTGTCAGCAAAACTGAAGATACAGAGGGAAAATAACAGTTTTAAAGAAGACAAAACAAAGTATAAATAACAACATGAATAACATACATCATTAGAATTCTTGTTCTTCATCGTCGACTACAGCAGTGTCACATCCAACCTCAGCGTAATCTTTTTCTAAAGCAGCTGTATCTTCACGTGCTTCACTGAATTCGCCTTCTTCCATACCCTCACCAACATACCAATGAACAAAAGCACGTTTTGCATACATTAAATCAAATTTCCAGTCTAAACGTGCCCATGCTTCTGCAATCGCCGTTGTATTACTCAACATACACACTGCTCTTTGAACTTTAGCTAAATCTCCACCGGGTACGGTTAACGGAGGCTGATAGTTGATTCCAACTTTAAAACCTGTTGGACACCAGTCAACAAATTGTATTGTCTTTTTAGTCTTGATATTTGCAATTGCTGCGTTCACGTCTTTAGGAACCACATCACCACGATACAACAGGCAACAAGCCATATATTTACCAGTGCGTGGATCACACTTTACCATTTGATTGCCTGTTTCAAAACAAGAATTTGTAATCTCTGCAACACTCATTTGTTCATGATATGCTTTGTCTGCTGAAATGATTGGGGCATAAGTTGCTAATGGAAAGTGTATTCTAGGATAGGGAACTAAATTTGTCTGAAATTCTGTTAGGTCAACGTTTAAAGCTCCATCAAAACGGAGTGAAGCAGTAATTGAACTGACAATCTGAGCAATAAGTCTATTCAGGTTTGTGTACGTTGGATGACCTATTCCTAAATTTTTTCTAAAAAACGAAATTAAAGTATAAATGTATATATGATAAGCAAAAGTATATACCTGCATATGTCATATATGGCTTCGTTATCCACCATGAAAGCACAATCAGAATGTTCTAGAGTTGTGTGAGTAGTCAGAATGGAATTGTATGGTTCAACTACAGCTGTTGCTATCTGAGGCGCTGGATACACAGCAAACTCTAATTTCGACCTCTTGCCATACTCTACACTTAATCTTTCCATTAGTAAAGATGTAAATCCTGAGCCTGTACCACCACCAAATGAATGAAAAATCAAAAAACCCTGTAACCCCGTACACTGATCAGCAGATTTTCGAATACGTTCCATAACTAGATCAATAATTTCTTTGCCAACTGTATAATGACCACGTGCATAATTGTTAGCAGCATCTTCTTTCCCTGTGATTAATTGTTCTGGATGAAATAGTTGTTTATATGATCCAGTTCTCACTTCATCGACTACATTCGGTTCTAAGTCGACGAATACAGCACGTGGTACATGCTTTCCTGAACTCATTTCACTGAAGAATGTATTGAAGGCATCATCAGATCGTTCAGTTTCTTTATTGCTTGGCATATGACCATCAGGTTGGATACCGTGTTCTAGACAGTATAATTCCCAGCATGCATTGCCCATTTGTACTCCAGCCTGTCCAACATGTATACTGATACATTCACGCTAATAAGAATAAGAATTATTTTAATTTATTAAAAACTTACCATTTTTGTAAATAATTAATATAAGAAGTAATACGCAAACACTAGAATTAGAATTTTTCTAAGTTAGTAAACTTTAGTCTTTTATAGACTTTACGATAGGCAATATTATTGGTTAAGAAAAATACAACGCGACCTTAATGTGTTGGTTTACACACTGACATACACATACTGTCAGAAGTAATGTCATTCTTTAAAACTATATGATGCACAGCCAAACATTTCACTTTCAAAATGTAAATGAACACTTTTATGAAGGGAGATACTGTCTTAATACTTAGCTATCATATCCTGTGGTATTAATATTGACCTGATATCGAAGATACCTAAACTGTACACACACACGCATACATACAAACATTTATCACATATCCTTTTTATTACTTTGTAGATTATGGAATCAAAACTAACGAATTATAATGTACCTACTAACTATTACTATTTCTGCAAACTTATTATTATTAAAAGAGAAAACGTTCAGCGAAGACACTCTTTTCGGCGAATTCATTCACATAGCTGTACAATCGCATTTATATATAATTATTTTTGTGTCTGTGTGTGTACATGAGGTTTATCTAGTTTAGATGATTGATCAAGTAACACAAGAATGATCTAATATAGCAACAAGGTTGATGAGACTGCAACTAAAGTAAGATTAAGTTAGTAAGTTAGATGACGTAATGTAATTGACTAAAATGATTCAACCTAGGTCAGGGCAGCAACAGAGGTAATTACAGGTAGACACTAACTACAGGTGGCCTAGAGAATAATGCCATTTAAATTAGAACTGAAATTGAGCAAATAATTTGGATGGAGTGACATAAATGACTAGAAATTGAGCGTTGGTCAAGTCAGTAACAGTGGTAGTGAGGTTGAGAAACTAAATAGGGTGGGGGTAGAGAACAAGAAGGTTGAAAATGTAAAATATTACAATTGAGAAGACAAAATAATACCAATGAAGAGACAGAAAAAGAGATTAGGTAGAATTTACTTGTCGGGTAATAAGATAGATTACGTCCATTGTAAGTGTAGTCATTGAACGAACTACTTCTGTATGCAGAGTTCAAGGCTTAGCAAGTGAATCGTCACTGCTTCTGCAGTTTGACGAAGTCTTATTCGTACACATTTAGGAAGACCACTTCTTACTCTGTAGGCTACTTTGAAGTTTGTTTGGGGTGTAGCTCGGTGTCCGGATTCTATCAGATGTTCTAAGATGGAGCTGCGGGGGTATCGTTTTTCTCCTTTGTAAAGCCATGTTGGTAAGTGTTCGGTGATACGTTTGCAATTATTATAAGTATTAGTATTATTCTGTTGACGTAGTAGCTGTTTTATGTTCATGTGTATCTATTCTCTTTTTTGTTTACTACACTTCGTTCCACTTTTCGGATGGATATATCACTTCCTAAAACTCTGTAAACAATTCGATTTGATTAGATAATTTGAATTATGACATTATGGTGGTAACGTATACCAGGATTTGTTGATCACAGGTAACTATTCTTCTTCACATTCCCCTGCGTTCCGAATGGAACATAGGCCACCAGGCTTGAAACCTTGGAGTTTCAGTAGCTGAGGTGTTGTTTTTATAGGATGGGGTTGCTAGCCTCAGAATTACAAATGTCTAGTAAATTACATTAGGTGCTTTGACTGAGGATCGAATCCCAAACCACGGGCGTGGTTGGCGAAAGTTCTACCAGCGAATCAGTTGATAAGTAATTAACTCGTAGGTGTAATTTGTCTGCCTGTGGCACAGCGGTTAGGACGCTCACCGACCATGCACATGGTCCGGGGTTCGATCCCAAGCCACCGACGCACTCATTTACCTCTCTAGGCCAGAAATAATTCTGGTAAAGAGGAAAGGTTGGGCATGAGTCCACCAACCTGATCCTGTAAAATTAAACGCTGCTACAGAAACTTCAAGCTGAAGGCTTGAGGCCCTACGTTCCACTGGTAACGTGAAGGAAAAAACAAAAAGCAAAAACAGGTGTAATCCACTATTCAAAATAGTCAGTCATCACTCTGTCAGACTGTTAGAAAAGCCATTAACACTGGTGCTAAAATAGGCTGCCACCTTCAAATTTAAGGTAAACTTTACTATACATTGAATGAATTTAGTATTAAATATATAAAAATAATCAAAAATGTTGCTACGGATGAGGATAAAGGCTATAGTGAGGTGTTTTCGCTTATAGTATAATAGCAGACACAACAGCAAAGAAGGGTGGGTAGTGAGATCCGGTTGGCCTAAGTGGACGATAATCCAGGTCGGGCACTCGATGCCGTCCCCACTTAGGAGGTTAAAGTAGATAATCTGGGACTTTGGAGCCTTCTCCGTTAGTAGAAGTGGCAGGACCTGGCTGCTACACCGTTTTCATGCAAGCGCACTAGTTAGAATCCGACCCAGAGCACCGGGTCACCGGTGACGATGACTGATCTGGAACAGAAATAACACACACAATAACAGATATTTAAACAATGTAAAACAAAAGTCGATAAGACTATTTTAAAACAGTCAAAACTAACATCTGATGTAGTTATAGGGTTCTCCTAAACACGAAATACACAATCACATCAGACCGACTACCTGAGGAAACTAAAACCGTTAATTACCGCCTCTGTCCTACCTATTCAAGCAAGTATAATGAAACAAAAGCCCAGCAAGCTTGTTTCATCATAACTTATCTACTCATTACGTTTCGATAGACAGTTTCAATCTTCTGTTCACAGCTGAAAAGAAACCACTAAATAAAAATGGATCCATGTTATTCCGAAACGATGGTGTTTCTCTTTTCTCCTCCGAAATAATTTATTTTGCAGCAAAAATTTCAGGTAGGTAGTTACCTGGGGTTCCAGTGGGAAGTCGTGACCAGAAGGGTGCAGCAGGTCGAGTATGAGGACAAATACTCGCCGCAGATGACATTGGCTAGTGGTCGCGCTATATCGTGAACTGGTAGAAGTTGGAATTCATGGGTTAGTCAAATGATCGGATCCCAGTGGCTTAATGGTCTACGAGCTCGCCTTGTAACCAGAAGGTCCTGGGTTCGAACCCCGGTGGGTGTGTACTGCTGAAAAGTCCCAAACTAGGACGGAGGAAACAGCTGTCCAGTACTCCCTACAGGTTTTCAAATGGTTCTCTAACCAATGTCAGCTCATGATGAAATCCTGTAGCCAATCAACCAAATCCCTACAAACCAATACTTGAATAAAAATTTCTCTGTTAGCCTAAAGTGCTTTCAAATTGTCAAAGTTTCTGACACAAATAGTTTGACAAAAAAGAGTGTGTGTTCATAAGATGGCCTGGACACACTGACAAGTGAATTTTGTGGACTAGCACAATGGCTAGTTTTTTTGAAACAGCAAAACCTTCAGATACTACAAAATGCACGGCAATACAAAGTGTGTGAGTGTGTATGTCTACACCTTCTAAAAATGAGTACAGAAGTTTACAAAAATTAAATTGCCTCCTTAATAGGTCCTGAACTAGGCTGGAGCTCAAAAAATGTACACAAATGACAGAAAAATGTGTAATTTTCGCATTCAAAACACCTTGAAGTATACAACATGAATTCATCACGAAGGCTTCTACAATAATTCATAATAATAATTTTAGTAAATTAACTACCTATCACTTACGGAAGGTGAACATTACAAGGTTCAACTATTTTGGTTTCAAAGTGATTTAATTAGCTGGCAGGAAATAAGACAATATGTCATGTGGACTCGAGCGACCAGTATCTCTATTACACCATAAAATTGAAATGAGGTATGAATAATGCGATAACAGCTAGTTATTACCGTGATACTAATATTCCTAAGGATATAAGTATCTCATTAAAACAATATATTTATTCAGGAGTAAAAATGAAGTCGCAGATTACAAGTAAAATTAACACATATATTAATGGAGATATATAATGTATAAAAGATATATTGATGATACCTTCATCGTATGTGATGGAAACTCTTCAACTGCCGATCTTCTTAGTATATTTAATAGTTCTCACCCATCTTTGTTTTTCACCGTCGAAGAAGAGTCGAATTCATCGTTTCACTTCCTTGATGTTAAGCTAGATAGAAGAGAGAATGGAACGCTGTTAAGGTCGATTTACCGAAAGCCAACTGTGCGTCGGTGGCACAGTGGTTAGGACTCTCGCCGACCATGCACATGGTCCGGGGTTCGAGCCCACGTCGACGCACACCTGATATCTATGGTCGGCCTGCAAAATTTGGGCTACCGATATCCATGCTGAAAATTCCATACTTGTGCCAAAAATACAGTGTGGAATCAAGCTGTAAATCAATAAAAAAAAAAACATTCACTGGGCAGCACACTAACTTCAACAGTTAGGTACCTTTAGGGAGAAAGAGAAATCTTATTCACTCCTTATGCTCAAGAATTCGTAAAATCTGCTCTGCAGAGACAATCGATAGGGAACTAGATAACCTTTGATCAAATCTTCTTAACAATGGTTATCCTACAAGGTTCACTGAACGTAACATCAAGAAAGAATCCGCCCCTAGACAAATCACAGTGCCAAAGAAAAAACTGTTCATGAGTCTGGCATTCAAATGTGACACCATTTAGGAATTGATTAAAAATCGTTTATCTAAATGTAGTAAACGCACTTTTCCTGCGCCTGACCTGCAACTAGTTTTTACCAGCCGAAATATGATTAGACAATGCCTCAAGGATAGATTGCCGCTTTTGTCCACATCTATGTGCACTTACTCTTTTACCTGCTAATGTGGAGCTGATCATATTGGACGGTGTAAACATAATCTCCGAAAACGTGTAGCTGAATACTATCCGGTTCGGTTAATGAAAGGCGAACGTAGAACTGTGAAGTCGTCTATTTATGATCACCTGTTAGAGTTTGGTCATTTAGCCCCACGTGATTCATCTTTCAAAGTTATCTACATGGCAAAATCGAATCGGTCCAAAAGTTCACGTTTTCTTCACTTATGCATAGCCGAAGCTTTAGCTATACATGTAAAGAAACCTAAAT